AGGTCCAGGGAAGAAAGGGGTTTGGTCAAGTTCATGCTGCAAGAGGGTGGAAAACAGGGAGGGGCTTTCAGTGGGCTCTGGCCTCAGGTGGTTATGTGACCCCTAGTGTGTTGCTCATCCCCTTTGTGCCCAGAACTGGTCCTATGCCCTGTCCAGGCCCTGTCTCATTCCCTGCAGCCACTATAACAGAATACCATAGACCAGGTTACTTAAATGACAGAAATTTATTTCTCACAGCTCTGACGACTGGATAGTTCAGCTCAAGATGCCAACCGATTGGGTTCCTAGTTCCTAGTGAGAGCCCTCTTCTGTCTCGCTATGTCCTCACATGGCTGAGAAAGATCTTCTCTCATGTCACTTTCAATAAGAACACCAATTTCATCCATGAAGGCTCCACACTCACGACCTAATTGTCTCCTGAAAGCCCCACCTCCCAATACCATCACATTGGGAATTAGGGCTTTAACATGCTAATTTGGAGTAAACACATTCAGTCCATGGTAGCCTGTGTGCCTGTTTTTTTAGGGCAGGGGTGAGTGCAGTGTTGAGAACTGGCTGCAAATGAACCTCATCACAACCATTACAGAGCTTCACTTCTAATAACAGGGTGGGAGGGGAAGGTACAGGAGCCTGCATTGTAGGGCCTCCATACGTCCTCATGGCAGTCTGTTAGACAGATGGATCAACTCCAGTTTGCAGAGAACCTCACCAGTGAGGTTAGATGACTTCTCCAAGGTCACACCACTCATTAAATGTCTCAGTTACACAGTGGTAGTTCGGGTGGTATTTGGGCAAGGCAGCAAGGATGTCAGAGCCCGGTGAGCTGTGACTGAGGGGACAGCTGCCTGCTCCAGCCTCACACCCAAGCCTCATTATGATGAAAGGCACCTGGGACGTGGAGGGCAAGGGTGCTTCTCAAAGAAAAAAGTATGCCTACCAATTGTGATACCTTTCCTAATCTCTAGCAAACCTGTAAGACAGGCATTCTGAGGAAACTGAGATCCAAGGACTTCCAATTGATGGATGACCCAGTGGCCAATCTAGACATTCATTCATTCATCAAGCATTTATTGGGAGCCTTCTGGATGCCAGGTACCATAGTAGGTACAAAAGTGACATGACTACTGCCCACTGGGGAAGGAAGACAGCTAAGCAGGCCTAAGCAATGGCATGTGAAGTGTGGTATGATGCAGGAGGCATCTAGTGGTTAGGAGCATTTACATAGCCCTGCATGGTCAGGGAAGGCTTTCAAGTAAAAACATTGCTGGGCAGAACCGGTCAGTGTCAAGGTAGCAAAGGCTGGGTGAATGGAAAGTGTTCCAGTCTAGAGAATTCAGGAAACTGATAGTTTCTACACTTACAGGCAGGTCTTCAGCTCTGTCCATCTATCAGAATATCCATTTGAGAGGCCTCATATAAGTACTTCTGGGCCAATAGACTTCAAGTTCTCTAAGCAAGGAAATCCTACAGTTAGATCAAATACCAAAATGAGCTCTGCAACTTAGAAGGAAAAACCAAGATGCCCAGAACAGGGTTGGTCTCATGCATACATTGGTGACATGCAGGAGCAAGGGGTGATGGTTTGGGGACAAGCCACATCAAAAGAGTAACTACAGTGGGAAATCTCAAAGAAGGAAGTTTAAGATCAATCATCTACAGTGTTAAAATTCTGGCTTTTAACTGATTTTGCTATTGTAGCATTTCATTCTTCTATACCTGCTCACACAGGTCCCTTTCTGAACCTTTTATTATGTCTCTCTTGACCTGACTGACTGATAGATAATTGTATGCTTCAATTTCTTCTATGTCCATCTTTTGGCTTAAGGCCTGCTTAACCTTAAGGGGGGGAAAATATTCCCTACTCATCTTCCCTGATACCCTGAGTCAGATCAGATCTTTCTTCTCTGGGTGTCCATAGCACCTGGGACTCACCATCATGGCAAACCCATCAAGTTATATAGAAATTACCCATTTAATTGTCTCTCTTCTCTACTGTCAGCTCCTGGAAGGCAGGGACCATGTCTGGATTCTTCGGTGCTTAAAACAGAGTAGATGCCCCAAATAGTTATAGGATGGATGGATGGATGGATGGATGATGGACAGATGGAAGGACAGGTAGATGGGTAGATAGATGGTTGAAGATCATTATTCATCATAACATAATCATCATTAAAATTACCAATAGGCCATTATTAACTCATTCTTACAATTGCATCACAAATATAATTACTGCTAACGCTTCTCATGGCTCCTGTTGTCAGATGTAATTTTGAGTGCCTCTAAGCCACACCACAGGTATCAGAGAGACAGATAGAAAACAGTGCCTCAAGTTTAGAAAGTCCTTTGTGGTTTACAAAGCACTTACATTCACATATGACACTTTATTAAGTATCCTAAGAACCCCAGGAGGGAGTTTCACCAGGGAAGGCAGCAAAGTGTCCTGATTAAGAAAGAGAATGTCTCTGGACCCAGAGAACCTGAGTTTAAATCCCAACTCCACCACTCACTAGCTGTGTGACCTTGGACAGATCTTATCACCTCTCTTGGCCTCAGTTTCCTCATATGTTCTATGGGGATAATAAGACTGTCCCCTAAAGCAGTTATATGGGTTGGTAATAATCACAATAACTATGGAGTGCTTATTCAGTAATTACTAGGCTCAGTTGCAAGTATTTTACGTGAAATAACTAATTTAAACCTCACAATACCTGTGAGGTAGATACTATTATTCCCCCTCCCTTTTTAACGCTCATATAAATAAAGTTAATTTGCCTCCCTTCCTGCTGGGAGGTAGAGGAATCAGAATTTGACCAGAAAACTGTGGCTTCTAGAGCTCCTATTGCTAACCTCCACAGCACCTATACACGCGGGCATCCTTGGACCCTGCCTCGTCTGTGGGTCCCAGTGTAAAGATAAGGCTTCCGGCTGCAGCCTTGGGTAAAAGCGCCCTCCTGGAAGGCATGACCATCTCTCCTGCAGCTCCAGCACCCCCACCCTTAGCTAGGAAGTGCCATACTTCAGATGGAAACATCAGATTTGAACATGGTTTATAGTTAACTCCCAGAAAATTAGGAGGCAGCAAGAGGAGATTGCCTATTGTCTTACATATGAGGAAGCCAAGCCTCAGTAAAGCGGAGGGGCTTGCCCAGGGTTCCACAGGGCTTGGGAGAACTCGGATGGAAACCCAGATTGCCCAGACTCCATCCTGTGTTCTTCACTGAACTCAGGCACAATCTACCCACCAGCCTTGTCTCTTCAAGAGAAAGGAGAGAGTGCCTTTCAGGGGAAGGAGACAGAGCACCAGGGTGGGAGTCCGGAAACCAGACACGCAGGCTCCTCTGCTTTAGCTCTTTGTGGCTCTGGGCCCTTTTCCTCTCTGAACTTCAGGAAAATGAGACTAACTCTAAAATGTCACCAGCTCTGAAATTCTGTGCAAGAGGAAAGGATTGCAAAGGAGAGAGATGGGGCAAGGGAGAGGCGACAAGAGGGAGAAGCTGGGGATGGAATGTGGGCTCAATCCCATCTTTCTCCCTCCATTCCCCCTCACTGTCCTGGACCTAACTGGCCAGCTGTCTGAAACTGCTGGGTGGAGCTGGTCCCCGTGCCAGGACCAGCCGAGCTCAACAGGGGCCCTTTGTCACCCAACGCTTGCCGGGGCCTTGGCCATTGGTGTTGGGTGTCCAAGCAGATTGGATTCTCTCCTGGCAGCCCTGCAGATGCCGCACTCCTGCAAGGGTGGCCAGGCAGGCAGAGAGAAGCCAGTCCTCCCTCCTCTTCCTGGGCTCCCAGAGGAACGTGGAGGCCACCATCTATGGTGCTGGACTGTGAGAGCCCCCAGGTGAGGTCTCCCTGAACCCCAGCTCATGCTTTGGGCCAAGCTGTGGGCTCAATGATGTCCTGGTGAATATGCATGAGCTGGCTCCTCTGGCCCAGCCAAGAGCTATAATTAATGTGATTGGGGGCTTAGGGAGGAGGTGAATGGCTTTCTCCTATCCCCATGCCTGTAAGACCCAAGTGGAGAGGACAGTGTATGTCAGCAGGTGTAGGTGGCATGGACATGGCTGGCATCTATAGGTGGGGAGTATGCCCCAAATTGTGTGGGCAAAGATGTGTGTAAATACGTTGGCATGGTGAGAGAAATAGGGGCCTGTGTGTGCACAGAGGGGCTGTGAACACAGGTGTTTTTGAGGTAAGGAGGTTGGGATGTTAGATGTATGCCAGAAGTGTTACTGCATGTAACACTGTGTGTGACAGAGAGGGGGCTGTTTACCAGTATGTGTGGGAAGTGGGGCTTGTGAATTGTGTGTGTTTGGCAGTGGGGTGGGCCATAAAAGTAGGTGGATTGGGTGTTGCAGGGCACCCTGAACCTATGGGTCTGAGGGTGTATGTGCACCAGAGTACGTGTTGTGAAGTCAGCGTGTTACATAGCACAGTGGACAATTAGGAAATTGGGTATTTTATGCCTTGGGGGGTGGTATATCATGGGGGTCTCCAGGAGAGTGCCAGTATGTTAGGATTTACAGTACATGCTGGTTTGTTATGAGGTGCCATACAAAACACCCACATTAGGGTGCTTGGGTGTTACTTTGGGTGGGCACATATACACTGGGCCTTCTTGAGCACCCATCTCAGAAGGCCTCCAGTTCCTAACTCTTGTCACCACTCTGTGCTCGCCCCACAGGAGCCACCGTCCCTGACCATGTAGATGCCAGCTCCGGGGAGCAGCATGGGCCCCGCTGAATGGAGACTACTGGGACTAGAGCTCTGAGCCCCTCCAGCCCCTGGATTTCACCCTGCACCCAGAGACACCCCTTGGAGTTCACCACTGCTGCTGTCAGCCCACCTCGACTGCCCCCTCCCCCTGGGACCCGGAGTCGGCCACCAGGAGCTGCAGCCATCCAGTGAGGTTGTGCTGAAGACAGCCACACAGAGCCATCACCCAGTAGCCTCTGGTCCAGTGCTGACCCTCGGGCCCACCCTGAGCAGGGACTGTGGCAAACATGGGTGACATGACCAATAGCGACTTTTACTCCAAAAACCAAAGAAATGAGTCAAGCCATGGAGGCGAGTTTGGGTGCACGTTGGAGGAGCTCCGCTCCCTCATGGAACTGCGGAGCACTGAGGCTGTGGTCAAGATCAAGGAGACTTACGGGGACACCGAAGCCATCTGCCGGCGCCTCAAAACCTCACCTATCGAAGGTAGGTGTGGGGGACTCAGACCCAGGACTGTCCTCTTGGTGACTGCCATTTGTGTTGGCTCCAGGAGCAATATGCGTAATATTTAACCTCAGGGATGTCTTGGACAGGGGCTGATATGCCAGTATGGCCATTCTGAGGGTCAGCCCCTTTGGATAGGCCATTTCTCCCTATTGTACGTTGGGGACTGACCCAAGCCACCTGCAAAGAGAACCACAGGAACAGAGCTGGGTCAGGGGGTATGTTCTGGAAACCAGATGCCAAAATCAGCCAGAATGGGCAACTCACATCCACTTCAGGAGTGGGCTCATCAGCCTGGAAATCTGAGAGGCACCCAGTCTCCAAGGCGGGGCCAGAAGGGAGGCTGGTGGGGCCAGAAGAAAAGCCAATGTCTTGCTTGCCTTCGTCAAAGCTCAGGCGGGGCTCCTGTTTCCCCCTCCCCCATCTACAGGGGTTGGATTCTAGGATCCTCCCTTCCCCAGACCCCTAAAATTCCCTTTTCTGGGCTCCAGCATAGAACCACAGCATTGCTGCAATGCAGCCAATTCCAGCTTCCCAAACCCTGCCCCTGGGCTGGGTCCTCTCTGAGTGTCCCAAATCCAGACTCTGACTTGGGGACTCCTAGATCTCCAGGCAGCCATAGGCCTTGAACTGCTGGACAGACAGGGCAGGCAGGAAGATGGGCCATCACAGGAAGGGTGACAGGTGCTATGTCTGTCTTGCCCTTGACATGGGTGTGGGACTTTCTTGCAACCTCCAAAATAAGTAGGCCTGCAACTCCAGAGAAAAGATTTTAACCCCCTGAGACTTTCTCTGGAGGGGGCCAAAGCCCAGCCGTCTGCCATGAGGCAGAGAGGAGAAAAAGCAGTCCAGCTCAGTCATCAGAACTCAGTTTGAGTCTCCATCCCCAAATGAAGGAAAAGAGTTCCCCACATGAACACCAAAGGCATGATTTGAGGCTCTTCTCAGGGAATCCCCAGTCCTATAACTTTGTGCAAAGAGGCTGCATCAAGCCTCAGTTTCTTTCTCTGGAAAATGGGGTCAGCACCTACTTCACAGTGCCTTGTGGAAGCCTGAGAAGGCAGTAGGTGCTCAACAATTGGCAGCCATATTATTCTAAGGAGAGTGGATGGAAATTCCTCCCCCAGGTATAGACCACAACCTGAGAGGCAGGCAGCATCTGACTCCTTATCCCTATATGACAGAGAACAAATCTGAGGCCAGAGATTCCCCTCACTCCATCTTCTAACTCCAGTCCCCATGCCTTGTGCATGGCTGGGCACTAACCCTGAATGCATTTCCTATAGAGGTTGCTTATGGACTTAGTTGCTCATCTGGGATCTGCCAGTCTGTGGTTGCCTGTGCCTGCACGCAGTAGCTTGAGGCATCTGTGTCTCTCTTCTTCTGAGTCCCTTTTGAGAAAGGAGGAAGAGCTAAGCCTTTCCTTCTTCCAAGATTGGCTACTGTCTCTGATGTTGTGCCTACCGGTGAGCTCAGCCTGAAGTTCAGAAACACCTTTGTTTTCTTGGTGTCTGGTTGTTTGGGCAGGGAGGGTAGGAATAGAGGAAACGTCCTCTCTTCACTGTGTGTTTCTAGCTCAGGTCTTGAGAATGACCTGCAATAGAAGCAGTCTCTGCCTTGGGGCTCCTGAACCCCAGCCTTGTGCGGACACGAGTCTGTGGCAGAATAGCTGTGCACACACCCGCCATCAGGCTGGCATACCTGGCCTCCTAAGAGGCAGGGCTGCCCAAGTGGGCTCTGGTGAATAGGACCAGGAGATTCTCTTGAATCAGGAATTTTTAAGTGTCTCTGGACTCCAGGCCTGGATGGAAGCTGTGGCCCTTCTCCCCAGAAAAGCATGCAACAGACGTGGCTCATACCGTCAGGCCTTCACAGAGCGCCATAAAGAATTCCGTCCTCGCCGAAACCAGTTTGGCTCAGTGGATAGAGCGTTGGCCTGTGGACTGAAGAGTCCCAGGTTCGATTCTGGTCAAGGGCATGTACCTTGATTGCGGGCATATCCCCAGTGGGGGATGTGCAGGAGGCAGCTGATAGGTGTTTCTCTCTCATCGATGTTTCTAGCTTTCTATCCCTCTCTCTTCCTGTCTGTAAAAACTCAATAAAATATAAAAAAATAAATAAAAAACTTGAAAAAAAGAATTCCGTCCTCCTCTCCCACTTGACAGGCTCTCACCCCCTGGGACACTGAGTGGCACATCACCAAGCTCCAGCACTGTGTGGGGCCAATTCCAGTTGGCTCATTGTGTCCTGCACCTGAGGGCAGGAATCCTGTCCTGCTCCTCTCTATACATTCAACACCTAGTCTGGTGCCTGGCACAGAGGAGAGATGGTAACTTGCCCATAAAACCCTGAGACATGGCCATTGAGCCGGTAGCCCACAGGGAGCAAGCAGCTCAAATGTCAGCAACCAAAACAGTAAATAACCCAGACCAAGTGCAGCACAGGCCCCAGAGCTCATAGGAGAGGTGAGACGGGTGGGCAGTGAAGGTCAGAGCAGGCTTCCTAGAGGAGGAGGTGTTGGGCTACGGAGGAAGGAGAAGAGAATAAAGCAGCATTTCTTAGAATCCCATAGAATTTTGATGTGTTATAAGTTAGGCATTACATGAAAAGTAAAGGGGACTCAGTTTTCTCATCTATGAAATGAAAAGAATAGTAACAGCTCTGACTAGTGCTCTGCCACCCGCCAGCTGTGTGTCTGCCTTTACATCTTTTGTCTGACCTCTCTAAGCTTTGGTTTCCTCATTTTTCATGAAGACCAAATGAGATCTCTGATGGGAAAGGTCTCAGAGGAGGAGGAAAGCCAGTGGTAGGGTTTACCAGAGTCCTGCTGCATTGGTCCCTAGAATAAAGTGACCAGACGTCCCGCTTTTGGCGGGACAGTGTCAATTTTTAACAATTTGTCCCACGTCCCGAGGCATTTTTAAAAAGTCCAAACGATTTAAAAGATTCTTTCCAAAAATCGGGACTTTTTTAAAACGCCGAGGGACGCGTGACAAATTGTTAAAAATCGGGGCTGTCCCGCCAAAAGCGGGACGTCTGGTCACCTTAAGGATCTCCCAGAGTGCAGGTGGAACTAAAAGAGGCTTGGAGAGGGTCAGAATAGCCTAATATCACAGACACTAGATTTGGATGCCCTGGGTTCAAATCCCAGTCCTGCCTTTACCTGCTGTGTGACTATGGGTAATTTACTTGACCTCTCTCTGCCTCAGTTTCCTCATTATCTCCTGTAAATGTGGAAATTGATAGTGGTTACGTCATAGGATTGTGGTGAGGACAAAGTGGAATAGCTTGGAAAGCACTTGGTACATGGGCAGACTAAACACCTCAATTTCCCCATCAGTAAAGTGGGTTGTGAACATTCTCATTCATTGAGATCAGTATCTAAGTGCTCAATAAATGTCAGCTCTTAATGGTCTTCATTGATTATTACTACTCTGGAAGAAGCAGTCACATTCTCCAGAAAGGGTGGAATTTGACTCTTCCGGAACACTGGTCAGTGTCCCCACATGGTGCCTCACTTTGCAATGGGCTATTCTGCATCGTTATTACACATGTGCCTGGAAGCAGGAGTTGTTATCGCATTTTACAGATGAGAAGCATGAGGATTTGAGGTCATCACCACAGTTCACATCAAAGCAGACTTTGAACACAGCTCTGATGGCACCCAGGTGTGCCATCAGCCCCAAGCCAGGCATGTGCACCTGGGCACAGTCCTCTAGGTGCTCTCTGTCTGATGAGGGCCTTAGTGGGGTGGGCCACCAGGGAACTTTTTATTCTCTCTCATGTTTAGCATTTGCCCTGTCCTGTGTGCCTCTTCTGATTTACAGAAGTGCTTCGCCTCCAGCCCACCCCCTAACTTAGAGCCCTGTGGTGTGGATCTGTGCCAGCTCTACCCAGGGACTCAGGTTGGCCATTCTGACACCCCTGCCCCTAATCTGCCCCCAATGAGCAAGCCCTGGCCTCTGAATCACACTATAGGAAAGTACTCCAGGCCATGCATAAATTAGCCTTCCATTTGTCCAGCTAACTTTAAGCAAAAAGGTCTCTGCAAGTGATAGAAAGGTTTTAAAGTCATAGAAATCTATTCCCACCCAGGGCACTGCCTGCCGCCAGCACAGGCCAGAGGCTCAGCTCCCACAGACAGACAGTGTTGGATTTTCTACCAAAAGGCCCAACTCTGGAGACAACTGTTGTGTAAACCTCATCCCTGTGAGGCCAGGGGTGGCCTCTGCCCCCGACTTGAGCTTCATTTATTTCCTTTTCCTCTACTAGTTCTGTTCTATTCTGGTAATGCCTTTTCCTCTGCCCTCACTGCCCCCTTTCCTTCCACACCCTTTCACTCTGGGACATAGGGCCCCAGAGACCCAGGTTCAAATCCTGACTGTCTTACTCTTACAAGACACTGGGAGAATTTAATGTAACTCTCTGAGCCTTAGTGCCTTATCTGTGAAATTGGGATACTAACACTACCTACCTCTCAAATATTGTTCACATGAAAGGCTTAATGCAGTGTATGGTAGTCCCCAGACACTTACAAAATGGTGATATGATTGTTATCATTATGCCTAATAATTTCTTTTCAAAAACAATATGCACGAGCCCCATCCTTGTGAATTAGGCAATTAGTAAGGCAGTGCCCAGCGAAGAGTTAATGTGCTGTTAGAGGAGACTTCCCAGAGTAGGCAAACACATGACAAGTCTGGAAAGATGGATAATGGATGTTGGGGTGGCTTAAGAGATCCTGGAAGCAGGAGCTGTTTGTCATTCTCCACCATATCCCCAGTATGATGCTTCGGGGCTCGGAATTATTCACAGAAGGAAGGAAGAGCGGGAGAAAGAAGAGATGGGGAAGCCCTGTGTAGGACAGAAGGCTGCAACCTGGGGACAGGACACAGGACACCCTATGTCACCCATGGAACAGTCGGCTTCAGGTCCACAAGCTGCTCCACACACACAGCTCGAGGCCTTCACTTCCTGTCACC